AATTAAATATCAAAAAGTCAAGGGTGATGCAGTTTCCAAACCCTTCTGCACTGGGGCATGCCCGCCCTGCCCTTGGCGCTCAGAGAAGGTGCTGTATTTGTCTGCAAGTGTTCTGGCCGAGGAGTAGAGGTACCTTGCCCCTGCCAGGTTGGCAGCGGCCGGCAGGTTCAGGGATCACGTGCTGCCTCCTGCAGCTGGCCTGTGTGGCACGCCGCAACACTGAACAGCAGCGGCGTGGCATTTCCAGCAGAACAGACGGTTGTCTTACAGATGAACTCTTGGATGGGGAGATGCATATTACCTGCTGCAAGTGTTTGGTATAGCTCTCATCCATGGTGGGGCAGGGTCTGAATTCCCGAGAGGTGCCTTCTTCTGGAAGGCTTAACTTCCCCTCCCCTCCCCTCCCCTTCCAGTTTCATACAATATTCCAATCTCTTTAGACTCTGATTCATGCTGGGATTTGCTCTGATTCAGGTTGTCCTGCTGCTGAAATCAGGCAGAAACAAGAAACAGAGAGAGTCAGAAGGGGCCTCCCGGGCCATCTAGCCTGACCCCCGGCTCCAGCTGGCTTTGCTCACGACATGCCCACCATGTGCATGTCCAGCCTGTCCTTGAGCACCCTCACCAGTGGGGCTCAGCCACCTCCCGTGGAAGCCCATTCCACCCCCTCGGGGTCCTGACTGTCAGGAAGTGCTTCCTGGCATCCCAACTGAACCTGGGTTCCCTGAGCTTTGCTCTGCTGGAGCGCGTCCTGCCTTCCTCTGCAGGGGAGAACAGGTCTCTCCCCACCTCCATGTGACATCCCCTCACATACCTGTATGTCACCAACAGATCCCCTCTGAGTCTCCTCCAGGCTAAAGAGACCCAGTTTTGTAGAAGCAGAGAAACTCTCGCTCCAGGCATAGAAACATAGAAACAGAGCGAGTCAGAAGGGGCCTCCTGGGCCATCTAGAATGGAAGCCCATTCCACACCCTCGGGGTCCTAACCATCAGGAAATGCTCCCTGGCATCTAAATGGAAGCCTGGTTCCCTGTGCTTTGCTCCACTGGAATGCATCCTGCCCTCCTCTGCAGGGGAGACAGGTGGTGCTCTGAAGCTTGGTAAGAGCAGAACTTTCACCGCAGCGTAAACGTAGCTTTGACCGTTTCGATAACTGATCGACAGAGCTCTACATCAAATGCTGAATCTGTGAGCGTTGGGGGTATGTTCCTGCCCAGTCTTGCCTGAGCCCTTACACTCAGGTGAGACTGTGCTTAGTCAGGCACAAGCCCTGGTCCCAGCATAAACCAGGATTTGGAGTGGATTTGAAGCAGTTCTGCACAGCTTGGGTACAAGAGGATTTGGTTAGGGTTCATCGTGTGCCTGGGTGCCCATGGAACGTGAGGCCATGGCGAGGAGGGTGTGGGGCGGAGCCTTCCTGAAGAGGAAGCGGGCTCTCCTAGCTGGCAGGTGTCCAGGTCTAACTGCCCTGGACAAGGAGACATGAAGTGGGCCTGCAGCGGTACAGGTGTGGCTGGCAACCGCTTCTACTGGTGGAGAAAATTATTGAAGCAAAAAGCAACAGGAGAGCGAGGCGGATCAAAGCATGCTAATTTCAACTGTTCAGTCTGACAGTCTATTTCCATGCAATCTCTTGGGCTGATTAGAATCAAAATTGATTCAGGAGAAGGAAGGGGAACCTAGTTTACCAGACATAATGTGCTCATTATCTGCTTAGTCTTCAAAGATGCTGCATTCGTTAACCTTTCAGTTCACACTTTTTTTGGGAAAAGATGGCATCTTTTGCCCACACTTAATCCTTTCATGTTGGGTGTATTAACATAGATTTAACAGGTAGAAGAAAGAGCATTTAGGGATAAATAGATCTTGTTTGCAATAGCACTGAATTTTGACTTGAAGGGTTTTTTTTAATCTTCAAAGGTTGACTCAGTTAACAGACAATAATTCCAGATTCTGGGGTTTTGCAAGTTATTTATTTATTTATTATTTATTAATTAAAACATTTCTATGCTGCCCCTTGCTGAAGCCTCGGTGCGGCTCACAGCATAAAATAAAATACAATAAAATACAAAAATAACAATGTAAAATTAACAATATAAAATAAATAACAATATAAAAGAAGTCGCCCTGGCCAGATAAATAAGCAAATATTGTTAACAATTAAAATGACGTTTAAATAAAAAGGTCTTTGCCTGGCACTGAAAAACAATTAACGATGGCGCCAGGCGGACCTCTCTGGGGAGCGCATTCCATAGTTACATAATGGGGGATCCTCAAATATGTACACAAAAAGGGTATAGATGTATAAACATTTATAAGGAAGCATTGCTTACTAGGTGATGATTTTAATGTGGAGATGCTAAGAACTGACTCCTGGTCCACGCTTTTTCCATGCAAGGTCCTCTGACCCCTACCCATCCTCACCAGGAGCAGACTGAACAAGATACCCAAGTTCAGGCCCCTGATTTCATGAATCTGTCTGCTGTGCCACATGCTGGACAGCTTTCTTTCTGACTTGGATCTAGAGGCCAGAATTGGTCCCCGGCCGATTGAGAACTGAATGGTGAGACCAGTTGTGGGCAAAGGAAGGTTGGATCCCTGTCGTTGTGGGTGTTTCCTTGTGCATTGCAAAGGGACCGCTTGCGTGCCTGTTTGGTCTCTTTGCAACACACCCCAGCCAGCAGTGGCGGACAGAAGCCGGGGACGGCGGAAGGGCCTGTCACTCCACTGTGACTCTGTGAGCCTCCAGTGTGAGAACCAGGTACATTCCACACCTGCCTCCGTTTGTGCTTTCTCCCTCTCGCCCTGCGGAGGAACCCCGTTCAGTCCCACAAGTCTCCCAAACGAAGCCTCTCGTCTCCTCTGTGTGCGCACCCATCGGTGTTTTCTCTGGGGATGCATTTGCAAGGTGCCTAAAGCGGGGCTTGGACATACGGGAGGGCTGCCTGCTCTCGTTTCACCGATGCCGATTGTCGCACTGGCTTAACGAAAGGGACACTGAGCATAAAGCACTTGTTCATTTAGTTCAGTTCATTTCTAAGCTCTTGGCCTTTCTGTGTGCACGCCTGTGTGTTCTCCCTGGCGCTTGATGTTAAAAAGGAAGATGCTTTCATGTTTTGGACTTGCTGCCTCTGCAACCCTCAAAAGCAGACCCCTCCCCGCAGAGTTCTCCTGCAGAAGCACCCGGGCCTGGGTCTGCCAGGGGTCCTCTCCCTGCTTGCCAGCCTCCCTGCTTGCCAGCGGAGCACCAGGCCTCCATGATCCCATGCACTCGGTGATGCCCAGAGAACTGGAACGCCCCCCATGTGTCCGTTGCTGCAGTCAAAATGCTGCCCCCTCCCCACCCTCCCCCGAACAGTGACTGAGGGTCGCCCCGCAGTGCGTTTTGGGTCCTGTTGCTTTCGCACCCACCTGCTTCCCACAGGTGGCACAGAAGTTGCGTTCCTGTGGGTCCGTCTCACAGCAGCACCTGCCGTGTGGCCTCATCCCCTGAGATGATTGAGGGGGACGCTTGGGGTGGCGAGGTGATGGGGCCTCAGAGGAAGTCTGAGGAGAAGCTGCCCGCCTGCCCCTGCCACCGTGTCCAAAGGGCGCTTTTCCTCCAAGGGGCGTAGAAACACAGAAGATGAGTGCCCTGTGTAGTAGAAGGATTTATTTATTTTATTTAAGGTGTATTTGCATTTAAGGGTGGTAGTAGTTCAGCTGCTAATGAAGCGTTTGCCTTGCAAAAGCAAGGCTGCAGTCCTGCTCTCAGAAGTGTGTAAGAGAAACGGAGTGTGCACCTGTGTTTCCTTTAGCTGGATTCTTTTTAGTATTCTGCACGCCCGTGTGATTTTTAAAAATAGCACTCAGGAAGATGTTGGACTGCCAGGATCCCGAATGCTCCACAACCTCCTCAACAGGATAGCTGGTTAGCTGTAACCATTTTTAATTAAACTAATTTAGCAACAGAATGCAACACTCATGAAAATGAGAGGTTGGAATGAATAGTTCTTTATTCCAGCATGGTGGCACTGTCTTCTGAAACGGAGTATTCTAATTAACTGAAAAGAGAGGGCTTTGTAATTTAGAGAAGAAGCAGCCGCGCCCCATGGTGTTGGCCGCCGTATGGGAGGTCAGTGGATGGGAACGGGAAAGGACCAGATCCGTGAGCTCTTCAGAGGGCTGGGTGACTTTTCTGCCGGGGGGTGGGGGGGCATCCAGGCAATAGATCTCTGGGGGGGCTCATCCCAGCACACCCCATGGGCATCTGGGTTTATCTGACGACAAGAGCACTTCGAACCATCTTCGAGCTGGATGGCTCACACACCACCAATGGCAGCAGAGGCAGCTGAAAGGACACCGGCTGGATTGGCAACGAAGAAGCTGAAAAGCTGCTCCCGTGTCACGCACTCGCTGCAAATTTGATGGATAGAGAGATGAAGAAATACTAAATCATGGGCAGCACCCAGGGAGCCCCATCTGGTGGAGTCAAGGAAAACAACTCTAGAAACGTACAGTTGTTTCACGGGCTGGCTTTTTAACATGGATGCTGTGGTGGAGTGGGGAAGAGCGCTGCCTGGAATCGGGAATGTGGGGTGCAGGGATTAATGGTTTCTCTGTGCGCCTGGTGCTGATGGAAGTACACAGACCACACCGCTGGGAGGAACGCTAGACTAATAAACTCCATTTTGTGGTTGCAAAGCGCTCTGAGAACCAAGAAAAGACGCGTGCAAATGTTGCGAAGTAAAGATAATTCTTCATGTGCCACACGGGCTACGGTGGAAATGATGGGGTGTTATGCCACAAGCAGGTGTTGGTTATTAATGATTAAATATTATTATAATTATGATAATAATGTATTATTCTGCTCCTTGAATAGCTCTTTGGGGAATAAGGACAGTGCAGAGTTCAAGAGCCTCTGTTCCTAGACTTGCCGACTTGCCAATTTTTTGCTGCCTGCAATTGCTGCTGTTTGTCTTCCTGCCGACTAAAGCATCGTTTCTCTCCTCTCCTTTCAGGTTATCCTGCTGGCTACCCCACAGCTGCCCCTACCTACAACCCAAATATGTATCCAACCACCAGCCCTGGCTATGCCCCAGGTAAACATCCCTTTGGGAAGCAGCTGAGCTGCACTCGGCTAGTTGTAAACTCTCTCGTGATTCTGTCCTTCGTCGTGTTTCAGCCACGTATTGTAGCAAGTACTTTTCAGCAGGTATTTCATTCTCACAGAGCGATAACCACATCCGTCATTATCAACGCATCATTAGCTTTTACAAAAAGTACCATGGAAGTACCATTTCGCAGTACCCTGTGAAGTCTGTGGCCAGGTGTATTCTCAGCAAGGACCGAACTAGTTCTGCATGCCCTTTCTCTCTGGACGGAGGGTGCCTGGCCACAGCTTGTGGTCTGGGTTTCGGAACGGGACTGCACCCATGGAGACGTAGTTCTAGCTCACCCTGACGGATTTGCACGTCAAAATGTCGACTGGACAATTGCCCTCAGGGGTTTCCAGCGAAGGAGGCAGTTAAGGTCATGCACGCATGCGCGCGGAAGAAGAAGAAGAAGAAAAATGCTGAGTTTGCTGGCACTGCCCTTTTGGCATTGCAGATTTGGTCTAAAAGTGATCCTGATGTGGTTATTAAGCAGCACTGCTCCTGTATTGCATTTGGGGGTACGGGAGACATTGCGTTCCAAATTGTGCACCTCAGAGCCCCCCAGAGATCAGAGATTTTGGTAATTACACACAGAACTAGCCATTCACGGAGTAATGGGTAGGTCTGCGTGATGCGCTTGCCGGAGCCGTACCTTCTTTCCGTCAGCTGCTTTTGCTGGCGTGCATTTCTTCTGTTCGTGTTCTGAGTGGATTTCCTTGTGGCACCCTTGTACGAGTCGTGCTGCAGGCTGCCTGGCCGGCTTCCCGGAAAAGCTGGTGTTTTGATGTGTGGCTCATGCACAAATTACAGGAACTTCGCTGAAGGATGGGTAGTACTTATGCTAAAAATGAACCGTTTGAAGTGTAAGAGCTAAGCATGCCTTCCACTTGAATTTAGGAAAAAATCCTCTGCTATATAGGAAATTAGAAGGGGAACGGCTGCCTTAGGCCTTGATCCTCAAAACATTGTTAACCTTCACTGAAATCAGCACAACTGAGCTGTGAGTCAGATAAGTCCTTAGATGAGCAAATGATCTGGAATCAGGAGTAAGGAGTGAAGTGGCAAGTTTGCTGATGACACTGAACTTTTAGGGTGGCTAAAACCAAAAGCGATTTGGGAGACCTCTGAAGAGATCTCTCCACGTGAGGAGGATGGCATCAAAATGGCAAATGCAGTTCAATGCAAACAAGTGTAAAGTAATGCATGTTGCGGGGGAAATGCACCTTCACGTACACGCGGATGGGATCTGAGCTGGCAGTGATTGTGCGAGGAAGGGACCTTGGGGTGGCGGTGGACAGCTGGATGGAAATGCCGCCCCAGTGCACAGCTGCTGTGAGGAAGGCAAGCACCGTGCCAAGCATCACTAGGAATGGGACAGAAAATGGAACTGCCAAGATCCTGCCCCCCCCATAGAAACCTTGGTGTGACCACACTTAGAATAATGTGTTCAGCTCTGGTGGCCTCACCTGAGTTGGAAAAGGTACAGAGAACGGCGGTGAAAGTGATCCGGGGGCTGGAGCAGCGAGCTCCCCTGTGAGGAACGCCCGGGACCGTCCAGCTTCAGGGGAGGCATGATAGGGGGGTTTTTAGAAAGCACAATGAGGAGAAAATGGAGAGGGAGACATTTTCCCCTCCCCCATGTCACTTGAACCCGGGATCATCCCATGAAGCCGATGGGTAGGAAGCGTAGGGCAAATCAAAGGAAGTCCCTCTTCACCCAGAGTATAGTTAGACTGCGGAATTTGCTGCCATGGGAAGTGGCGATGGCTGCCAGTCTTCATAGCTTTAAAAAGGGACTGGACAGATTCATGGAGGAGGAGGCGATCCATGGCTACTAGTCTTGCTAGCCACGTGCACCTCGGAGGTTTCTGAGAGGTGTCCTTCCTGCACACATCAGTTGCCGAGGAGCTGGGCAGGAGGGGGTCTTGCACCCGTCCTGCTGGAGGGATCCTGGGGCAGCTGGTTTGCCACCGTGTGTACAGAGCGCTGGCCTAGATGGACCTGGCGTCTGATCCAGCAGTGCTGCTCTTAGGTTCTTAACAGTTTGGCCCTATTTATTCCCTCCCTGGGATTTCACTCTTCTAAGGTGTTCATTGCTGATAAGAGCAGCTCTTTCCGATATTTCTATTGCATGTTTCAGAGCTCTGGAGATCGCAGAGCCTGATATGACTGAGATCTGAGAGCTGCTGTTTGCAGAGTTGGATTGTTTGCTCAATAGACAACTCTCATGAGCAAAGGAAGCTGCCCCGAAGCCTCTGGCTCATCTCCTGCGAACAAGGGCCAGGGCTGGGCGTGATTGTCTTCCGGCTCGCTGCAGCCCTTTCCCTTTTTGCTCAGATTTTATAGCACTATTAGAATGCAGTTGCACAACGCTGCTCTCATCACATTTATCATTGCAAGTACCCCAAGTAGTAGCAATTAGCATTCCCATTTTACAGATGGAAGGTTTGAGGTTATGAGATAATGACTTATTCAGGGCCTCTTGCCAAGTCTGTCTTCTCAGCCCAGCACTAGAATTTGTTCTCTTAATTATTCTCCATAACTGGGAACACCCTTCCCTTCCCTTCCCTTCCCTTTGAATTGAAAATGCCTATTTAGCTGGCATTCTCCAGAAATTCTTGCTAGTTGGCAGCCTGAAATTTCTGGCTTCTTCACCCCTTTCTATTACATATAATATGTGTGTGTATAGGTTGCCTCATATTACTTGGGAAGTAATTCCTGGTCATGACGTTGGGCATGGACAGCTTCCTGATTCCGGTTTCTTGCTAGAAAGTCTTTGAAGACATAAGGAATTTGGATTTTGCCTCTTGCATGTTGCCTGCTCTGCTACATTGCAGTGAGTTTCTTTTGATTTTGTGGGATCCTTGTACAGTTGAGGGTCTAGAAGTTGAGCAAAACTCTAGCACAGTCCTCACACCTTTTCTTTATAGCTTCCCAGAGGAAAATGTCGTGAGGCAGCGCAAGGGTCACACTGTTGCTTTTTGCTGGTGCCATATTGATTTTTTCTTACTTCTGAGAGGAAAATAGTCTTGGTCCCCACAGGCCTTTCCAGATATTATACTTCTCTGTGGGGCGCTGCTCTTTTAGTGCCAGGGGAGCTGAGCAGGCCTGGTGGGGCAGGGGATTTTGGGGCGTTCCTTCCTAGGGCTGCCACCCGTTGGAGACAACTGGACCGCGGGTGACGACAAGGAAGTTTCACGGGTGCTCCCCGAGTCAGGGACGGCTTAAAGATCGCCGTGCCCCCAACGCTGCACAGCTAATCAGCTTTGGCTAAGTGGAGACATCCTAAAGTCAACTGCAAATCGGGGCACTGCTTCACGTTGCCCTCTTGCTGAGGAATTGAGCATTTTCTCTGCTTTAGAGCAGTTCCCAAAGGAAAACTGGGAAAGTGCTTTTTAGCAATGCCAGCAGTATTCAGAAAGAGCACCCCTCCACCCACGCGCTTGCATCTCATCCCAGTGGTTCGTGTATGAAGATCTCAGTCTGCATTGTGTTGCCCCCAGGAGGAAGCATGTTAGAAACAGAGAGGGCCAGAAGGGGCCTCCAGGGCCATCTAGCCTGACCCCCGGCTCCAGCTGGCTCCACTCACGACATGCCCACCATGTGCATGTCCAGCCGGTCCTTGAACTCCCTCTCGACTGGGGCTTCACCACCTCCATGGAAGCCCATTCCATACCTGCGGGGACCTAACCGTCAGGAAGTCCTTCCTGGCGTCCCAGCTGAACCTCTGTTTCCTGAGCTTGGCTCCGTTGGAACGTGTCCTGCCCTCCTCCGCGGTTCATCTCAGGCATTTTTCTGCTGGACAGAATCGTCCGACAGAAACGATCCTGACTGTTCCCTTAAGAGGATAAGTGGAGCGCTCAAGCTCTGCTAAGCCAGACCGAAGGTTCTCCCGCAGGGGCCAACTAGATGCATCCGGAAGGTCATTGCCTTGTCCTGATGCTTCCCAGAAGACTGTGCTGAGAAACCACCACCAACAAACACGGCCCGTTTTGTCTCTGCATGGCCCAGTGTCAACAGGGACATTTCTATGCCCATCTCAGAGGAGTTTTTGGTGGTTCGCCGCTTTGGTGTTTGCAGTCTCTGTCATCATCCTCTCCATGATTACAGGATTCATAAAAGGTATTAAAGTGATTCTGTGTCCGATAATGCAAAGCATTTTTAAACAAAGCCAAAGCAATGGATTTGATGCTGTTTATTTATTATATTGGTGTGATTTAATGGTGCTCTTAATTAATTTGTTGTTCCATGTCAGTAATTAAGCCTTTCAGATCTCACTTTTATTATTCTTAGGAACCTCGAGTGCCATGTCTGCTGGAAAAGAGGGATATAAATTTAATAAATGCATGAATTAATGAACATGTCTTATTTAAGACTGCAGCACTCCATTACTCAAAGGATCAATCCTGTGCTTGCTTAGATGGAAAAATTCTTGCAACTGGGACCATTTTCTGCCTGAACATGTATTAGTTGGCATTCTAAAAAACTTCATTAAATTTAAAGGGTGCTCCCTATTAATTGCGGAGCAGATTTTGAAAACAAGTAAGTGATTTGAGTGTAAGTTCTTGCAAACCCATGGCTGGCAGGTTCTTTTTCAGAAGAATCTTTCACCGTTCTTTCACACTAGGAGGGAAAAAAAGTTACTTTTTAAACAGAGGGTAGAGGAGAACCATTGAAATTAATTGAACTAAATTAAACATTGTCTTGGGACAGGTAAAGAAGGTTTGGGTATGAGAAACTAAAAGCCCATGTAGTGAAAAAGATATTCGACTGTGGGTGCCTGCATTTCTTTTACTGGTTTTTAGCCAACCAGGCAATTTTGACTGCAGGTTTCCAGCTGCAATGAATTTCAGTATCCTTGTTACAGATAAACAAGGGCAATAGCTTACATGTGGCCATTTAAAGAAAGCCATGCATGAACTGACTTCTTCCCGAGCTGTTCTACATTTCTGACTTTTTTTGCTCTATTGAATTTCAACTCAGAAGTCCTTTATGGGTGTCTCAAGCTATCTCTTTTCCGTGTGTGTGCGTGCGCAAGTGAATTTTGTGAAGGTCAGCAAGATGCTATCACGTCAGTCAGCCTGGCGATACTCCACTTCATGCCAGTTTCGCAGCTGCCCTATTGCCAGCCCGAACAGCTCCTGCCTTTGGATCCAAGGAGGGCATCTGTGCCCTTTGTTGCTCAGGGGACCTAACACAGCTGGGAACACCAGGGAAGCTGTGCTGGGAACTCACCCAGGAATGTGTGTGAGCAGAAGCATCTCAGGAACTGCTCTGCTATGAGATTTATTATTATTATTGTGGCAAGGGAGGAAGAGCAAGAACAGGGTGATAGGAGGGGAGGTGTCACAAGGCTTATATCCTGCTGGCTTAGCATGGGGAAACCTTTCCAGCCCTGGTTCTAACAAGGAAGGTCTTGGGAGCTGGATTCTGCTAGTGAGCAGAGCCAAAAGGAAGGCAGGGGGTAGCAGAGGAAACACTGGGGCAGGGCGTCAACAAAGAGCGGTCTGACCTCTTTTAAGTATTTAGCAGTGTCTTACTCAGAAGTAAGTCACACTGAATTCAGTGTAGCTATTCTGATGTGCCTGGGATACTAGCCTGAAATTCTGTGGCGGCAGCAGAGCGTTGCTCAAGGAATGCACCGCGTTCAACCCACAGGGCGGAAATGTGGCCCTCTAGAGAAATGTTTGCAATGCATGGCCGTGAAAGCCGGACCATAAGGAAGGCCGAGCGCCAAAGGATTGAGGCCTTTGAATTGTGGTGCTGGAGGAGACTCCTGCGAGTCCCTTGGACCGCAAGGCGATCAAACCGGTCAGTCCTAGAGGAGATCAACCCTGGCTGCTCTTTAGAAGGCCAGATCCTGAAGATGAAACTCAAATACTTTGGCCACCCGATGAGAAGCAAGGACTCCCTGGAGAAGAGCCTGATGCTGGGAAGGATTGAGGGCAAAAGAAGACGGGGGACGGCAGAGGATGAGGTGGCTGGATGGGGTCAATGGGACGGTGAGTGTGAGCTTGGGTGGACTCCGGGGATGGTGGAGGACAGAAAGACCTGGAGGAGTGTTGTCCATGGGGTCACGATGGATCGGACACGACTTCGCGACTAACAGCAACAACAAGAGAAATGTTAGAAGTAGCACCCTGACTTTCCATCCAGAAACCAAATCTTCTCCCACACAGAACTCAGCCAGCCAAAGGAAAGAAATTGTATAATTATATGGTTATACAAGCCATTGTATAATCAGCACCCCCAAATCCAGCCAGAAGGTTGGCACTTTCAGATTCCATCCCGATAAGCATCTACTGCTCTGCTCACCAAAAGGTGCTCGTGATCCAGGTGGACGCGCTCCAGAAACAGCCACAATTCCCAGCAGAGGGTCTCTGGGCAGCAGCTCTGGGCTGTTGAGGTGGTGGGTTACAGCGTTGTTGCCCCCCCCCCCCGATGATTTGCCAGCTTGTTTTATTGCTCCCGGTCAGCTCCATTTTAATGTAGGGTTTTATGGGGGGGGGGGCACGAGAGGGGGTTGTTCTTTTTAAATTCTGTGTCAACCACATGGAATATGTTTGAAATCAGAAAGGCAGAATATAAATATTTTGTTGCCACTGAATTAACACTGCACAAAATCACGGTATCTCCTTAGAGGCAATGGTTTCCAGTGGACTTTGTTGAGTAACATAGAAACAGAGCAAGTCAGAAGGGGCCTCCCGGGCCATCTAGTCTGACCTCCGGCACCAGCCGGCTCCGCTCACGACATGCCCACCATGTGCATGTCCAGCCTATCTTAGCCAGTCATCGTGCCTTGATTTGCCTTGATTTGATTTGATTTGATTTGATTTGTATGCCGCCTCCTTAGCCATAAGACTCTCTGGGTGGCTCACAACATACACATAGCAATTAATGCAATTCCCATGTATATCCCCATGATATTCCCGTGATCTACATGTTCAAAAGCACCATCTTACTTCCCGTGCATTGAGGTGTGTTAGCTTCTCCGTGAGATATCTCCTGTGTGCATTTTGCTGTTGTTATTTTAGTACCATTGATTACTTCATTTAAGTTGGACTTGGAGGGCTCTCCAGGGCTCTGTTTGTGCAGTAAAGGAGAGCACAGCCGATCAGCGAATCAGAATGGAAGCAAACCTCCTGGGCGAATGTTCTCTCACTGAGAATGAGTCTGGAGGGGCTCCGTGGTCGAGGGAAATGTCAAGCATCGCCTACAGTGCTTGATAAATAAGTGCCAGTGACGTTCACGCAAGGACATCTTGCTCAGAAGAGCAAATGCCGATGTTGCGCCCTCAGTGGGAAGGCTCGCATTTTCCCACCCCGAATAGGCCACGCGACCTCCGGTGCCGGGCAGATGTGATCCTCCTTCAGCCAGAATGCATCTTCAAAACATGGTGTCTTGGGTCGTGCGCACAATTTACTGTGCAAACAAGCTGAGCTTTCGGAAAGGCCTTTCGTTATCCTGCAGAACGATTCCTTCTTCAAACAAACCCTCTTTTCAAGATGGTTTTAAGAAGCGAGGAACTTTCTGTCCTCTCGTGGTATTTTTCACCCAGGTGCTACAGGCATGGCCTTGCTCTCTTGTAGCAACTTCTTCAGGAGAACCCTGAAAAATTTGGCCAAACTATACCTGTTGATATTAGCAAACAAGAAATTTATTTGATTTTACATGTAATGACTGCGGCGAGGATTGCATTTGCTCAATACTGGAAAAGTGAAGAACCACCCACCGACGAACTGATCCTCAAAAAGATCTTGGACGGTGCAGAAACAGATAGCTTGACTTTGTCATTGAAAGAGAAAGAAGATATTGATTTCTATCAAACTTGGGACTCTTTTTATTATTGGCTAGAGAAACAGGACTTCGTATAGATTTAAATCTGTTTTTAAGTTATCATAAATGGAAAAAAATGTGGAGGCTGACCCAGCAGGTTCGATGTTTCTGATGATTAATGTTGTTTTTAGTTTTTCTTTGTTTTAGGGTTAAATTTTGAATGAAACTTATTATTTAAAAAAAAAAAAGTTTGGCCGAATGCAGAGACCAAGCATGTGTAAAGGCCGCCCCGTGGGCCCTGGCTGTTCCAGCTGATAGCCCATGTTCTTGGACCACCCCTCCTGTATTCTGTCTCCTCTTGCACTGTGGTCTTTGCCCCCCCGCACACCCCCCCCAGTACCCTCCAGTACCACCACCACCACCGGAAGGCCTCCTGTGATGGGACTACCAGGCCATCTGGGTGCGCTCTTTCCGTTGGCTGATAGAGCAGGACAGATCTGGAAGTAGGTGGGTCTCTGTGCCTTGATCTCACTGGCTCGCTCCAGATCAGAAAGAGGGTGGCACAGCTGCTGCTTAGCAATGGGGGTTGCTCGGAAAGGGGACCCCCTCCAGAAAGGATGCCAGAAAGGCGGGAGAAGACAGGCAGCAAGGGAGAGTGGAAGAGGGCAGAGGGCCACTTCCCAGGCATGGCTTGAGCGCCTTGTTCACAGAGCTGCTTCAGCAGCAAGTCACCTGGTTGCCCGACTTGGGATACCTACAAGAATTCAAAGGACCCTATGAAGGTGTCTTGAGTCCTGGGGCCTTCGCTCCACCTGTCGCTTGCTCTTTCCAAGGCCTCGCATGGGGAGCTCTCCTAGCCCAGCTGCTGGAGGTGCTGCACCTGGATGCTCTGGGCCTCGGACTGAGGATGAGCCCTGCCTGGCCGACACGTCGACCGCATCCACTGCGGCCCTTCCTGGGTTCCCAGCAGCTGCAGGAGAGGGAGTGAAAGCCCCTCCATTTTAAGCAGCCGGTGCTGGTGCTGGGGCCGGCCGGCGGTGGCAGCTGGGCTGGGGATGGCTCCCCCCGGGGAGGCCGAAGCCCTGGGATCTTCCGAGGGACCGTCGCGTCTCCTCTGGCTCTGAGTGAGGAGCGGAGGAGGAGGCATGGTGGGAATTGGGCAGCGCGAGCGTGGAGGGGACAGTGGGATCTCTCACAAAGGCTGCCGTTCCCCCACCCATCGTCCCCAGTCCTTCAGGATGCTGCTAGACCTACCATGGGCAATTGGACCACCATGAGAAATAGCTTGCACACACCTGGGTAGATGCTGATTTTCTGGACAGCTCCACGCGAAAAGCCCAAGCTTGGCTGTACAGATTGCCAGAGGCATTTGCCCATGTTATCCATCTGCCTTGCAGGATATAATTATTCCTCATCCAGGGTCTGGGCCAAGACAAGAGTCCCAGCTGCCTCCAGACCAATTTTTGTATCCGTCCTAATTGCCCCCTTGCGAAGGGGAAGCCTGCCACCGCGAAAGACGCTTTCGAACTGGGCCGCCGCTGCATCTTCGTGTTGATTGCCGTCCCGCTGCCTGTTCCCTTTGTAACCCTTCTCTTCTGTCTTCACTCAAGCTGCACTTCTGCTGAAGCAGGGCTGGCCTCAGACATCGTCCTCTTGTGCCACTGAGGGTACCTTTCACCTCCCAGTGGACACTGGGACCGAGAGCAGAACTTTCCAAGCTTCATCAGCAGCATTCAGTAAATAGAATTTTACTTCTGGGGTTATTACTGGTGGTTTTGCCTTTCTGCCCTCTCTCTCCCCTCCCCCTCCCCCTCCCTCCCCCATTTCCCTCTCCCTCCTTTTGTTTTGGGAGTGGGTTGTATGTTGTATTCATTTTTATATATAATTAAAATAATATTTTAGCTCTCAGTCACAGAAAGAATATTGCAGTCAGCCACGTCCTTTTTAAGCAGGGTGGGTTCCACTGAGAACTGCAGTTTTCTGCCTTTGCCTGGGTGAGCGCCAAGCGGGCCTGTGTCTTCCCCAGCCTGGTTCGTTTCAGCAGGAGTCCCACGAGGCACTTTCCTGGAGGAAGCACCCCGGAATTTGAATTTCCCGGGAGGAACTGTCGGCTTTTTTGGCGGGCGGTGCCGAGGGAGCCCCCAGCGCAGACTGTGGCACCTCCAGGAGAGCTTTCCTCCCAAATAGTTTTCTCTGCCTGAGATTCTGGGCAGCCGTGACTTGCTGAACTGGACCATACTGGGTTAAATGGACAAACGGCCTGACCTGGTATGAAGCCACTTCCACTGTTTGAGGACCACAAACAGTATATTGGTCAGGAATGCTATTTAGTAGAAACAGAGAGCCTCATAGTGTTCACCGTGAAGTCGGTTGCTTCGGATTTCCATGGTGAGGGGAGGAAGCACCAAAGCCCTTCTATACACGGTGCAGATTGTGGTGAGACAATTCTGGACATGCCCCTTCGGACTCTGCGAGAAGGAGGCCGTTTTTTTAAATGCTTCCCACTCCCTCCCTGAGATTCTCCCCGCATGTAGTAAAATGAGTCCCCCAGGAACTGGGCTGCACCCAACCGGGGTCTCTGCTGCGCTGCTTTGCCACAATCGGAGCCTCTGAGCCAGGGATGAGGGCCTCCAGCGCTGTGGAGGCCCAGACGGTGCCGCCCAGGATTCTCCCACTTCATTCTGAATAATGCTGCGTGCACCAGCACGCATCGCACGTGGAGGGTCGAGAGCAGCAGGCGGGCACTGCTTTTCAGAAGCATCCCGGGAGCTTGTTGTAAAGGGGGATTGCTTGCCATCAGCAGCTCTTCACTGGGGTGTGAAGCCCTCGATAATTTGTCGATGGGGTTGAGATTCTGCCCTCCTCCTGGGAAGCACAGCAGGGGCAAACCCTTTCCTTGCACGGTCCCACTTCCTCCCCTGTAGAGCAGGGGCCTGAAAAGTTAATCCAAAGCACGCTCAGTCCCACGGGGCCGAGGTAGAGCTTAGCATACTCCAGTCTGAAAACCTCGTTCCCCTACTGGCACCACCCTCCCGTTTGGGCTCCCAAAGGCCACCCGCCCGAAGCGCTTCCTGCACCGCTTGTGGGTGGCGTGGTGGCTCTGTCGGGTCTGCAGTGCCAGAGGGGGTGGGGAGCAGACCCGGGCTGCGTTTCGGCACACGGGCGTCCCGGCCTGCCTCGTCGAAGCTGGTGCCCAGTCGCCGCCGTGTGGCACCTCCTGCGGACCGTGGCAGCCGCACAGACCGCCGAGTGCTTCGTCCAGGGTGTGTTGGCCGTCGTGGTCAAGCGAGAAACTCCGTCCTTTTCTACCCAGACGAGCGAGGGCCTCAAGCTGCCCTGCCTGCTTGCGAGATGCGGAAAGACGCGAGGCGCAGCGGCGAGAAGAGGGCCAGCAGACGAGGCGAGGGCAGCGGCCAGGCAGACTCACCGGGATGGGGGCACCGGAGGCGTCTCGCCCAGCGGCCCCCAGAGGGGTGGGGCTAGCATTGCCCTGGCTCCTCATGCTTGCCAGCTGGGCCACTGAGGGTCCCTCTGTGCCTGAGCGTTTGGACGTGTGCGTGTGCGTGTGTGTGCAGAAGACACACTTAAGAGGTCGTTCCTGGTTGGCTCCGAGAGCGTGTGGTGGTGCGTGGGAGGTGAGGCAGCACGACTGGGTCCCTTGAGCGCGTGGCGCAAAGGCCTCGTCGCAGTGTGTCGTCACCGGTCCCGGCCTTTGCCCGGGGGAGCGTGGCCCTGCGGCCCGGCCCTGCGCAAAGGCAGGCGGCCCCCTTTTGCCCTGGCTGACATCCCTTGCGCGCCTGCCACCTGCGAGTTGGCAGCCGCGTGGCGGCTTGATTGTGCGCATTTACACTTCCAGGCGAGCCCCGTTTCCAGGAGGCCGCGATCCAGCTCAAAGCGCAGCTGTGCAGAGACACATCTCGGCCCCTCTGTCCTCCAACAGAACTGCCGTACTCTGTGCCGGTCAAGATAGCCATGCCGCTCGGCTTTCCCCTCCCAGCCACTGCCTCGGTGTTCCCAGCGTGGGGGCGGGTGGCCTCACCTGGGAGTCGCGCTCCTCTTGCTCTGCCGACCGGGTGTCGCAGCTGCCGGGTATTCTTCAGGGGAGGAGAGTGTTACAAGTTCTGGTTGGGTGGCCTTGGGAGCTAGAAGGGCTTTGGACATTGGGACCGGCCTCATTAAATATGGGATTCCTGGGGCTTAACAAGGAAGTCTAAACTGAAATTCAGCTGGACAGTTTTAGTTCTGCTTGGCTGTGCAGTGGGTGATTTCTTTACCCGACTACCCAGTCCTCGTCTGGCAATTCCTCTCTGCATTGTGACCTTGCAGTTCCGTGTGGATGTCATGACTCGCCCTTTTAAGGCAAGATGGCAGCGCTCTCTTCGTTGTATATCGGCAAGGAGCAAGTCATTCTCGGTTTTAATAAGAACCAAACAGACGCGGCTCTTCTGTCAATAATGCAAATCGTCTTGTCGGGCACAAGGCAGAGGGGGGTAAGCTATCTGGAAAATCCATCTTACTCTAAGGTGACCTTTGGCAGTGCATTAAGTCTGGTCTCCCTGAACGAACTTGGAGATCACCTTTCCTACCTGCTTTTACTGTTCTGAGCTCTTGTAGGAAGACCAGCTCAGTTATTTTGGTCCTGCTCAGCAGGTGCATTTGCTGAAAGTTGCTATCCTTCTGCTCCAGATCAGCTCCAAAAATCAGCCCTGGTCGCAGAGTTAGGGAAAAGAATAAGGCAGACCTGACTCTGAGTTTGCTCCAGAGGGCTTTGTCTCCAGGCAGAGGAAGGCCTATTCGTAATTCCGCTTGCTCTCATGTTCTGCCGGGTTTCTGTGGCTGGAAGCAGGAGGCCGGCTCGCTTCCCCCCAGGGCGTGCGTCGCAGGGGATCTCGGGAAGCGTGATGGGCTTCAGCGGCATGCCACTCTTCCAACGCCCCTTCCACGAGCCCACCCAGGTTTTGGATCCCAGCAAACACACAGTGCTGGTCACTAGTCCCAGTTTAATAGCCAAGTACTCAATTCAAGGGACCGCAGGTGGCGCAGTGGTTTAAACCGCTGTGCTGCTGGGCTGGTTGATCGAAAGGTCGCCGGTTCGAATCTGCACAAGGGGGTGAGCTCCCGTTGCTCTGTCCCAGCTCCTGCTAACCTTGCAGTTCGAAAGCCTGCAAATGCAAGTGGATGAAAAGGTACCTCTTCGGTGGGCAGGTAGCAGCGTTCCGTGCACCTCGGTGTTCAGTCATGCTGGCCACATGACCACGGAGACCATCTGTGGACAAGCGCTGGCTCCCTCGGCCAGGAAACGGAGCTGAGCACCGCCCCCGAGAGTCAGGCATGATGGACGTAACATCAAGGGGAAACCTTTACCTTTACTCAGTTCAAATCCTGGGTGTGTGTGGCATTGCACCAAAGGTGGGCAGAGACCGGTTCTCCCCTGCAGAGAAGGCAGGACATGCTCCAGCGGAGCCAAGCTCAGGGAGCCAAGGTTCCATTTGGATGCCAGGAAGCACTTCCTGACAGTCAGGACCCCGAGGGTGTGGGATGGGCTTCCACGGGAGGTGGTTGGGGCCCCCTCGGTGCGGGTGTTCAAGGATAGGCTGGATGTGCACATGGTGGACATGTCGTGAGTGGAGCTGGCTGGAGCCGGGGGTCAGACTAGATGGCCCGGGAGGCCCCTTCTGGCTCATTCTGTTTCTATGTTTCTGTGTACTTGCCATCTCGATAATCACCAGAGTCTGACCCTCCTCCCATTTTTGACTACGATGCGCCAGGTCTTTGTTCCGTTAACCTCTCGATAGTGGCTCCCACTGTGCTGATGGATGGTGCTGGAATTTCCTCAAGGTCCTTAGTGGCGTTTGTCTTGTATTTTAATTATGTGCTTGATGGCGCACCCTGCAGCTGATGCCTTATGAAGGGCCTCTCTCTCGAACCGGCCCACCGAGCTCGTTCCAGGAGGCTAATAGCGCCGTTCTGATGATGTGCAGCCGCACTCAGCGGCGCACGGCCTGCATGCGTGGAAACAGGAGCGATCCAGTGCAACGGGCTCCATAACTCCTCGCACACCCCAGATCTCACAACTGGCTCATAAATAGCGGGGTCCAGCTCTGAGGTCAGGGGACAAGAAGGCCGCCACGTGTCCCTCGGAGAGAGAGACTGCCTTTGCCGTCTGTTCCCTGCAGGCATCAGTTCTTTGGCCTCGATACCCGATTTTGGGTGGATTTCGCATTTGCACAGTTGAATGCGTTGCAGACTAGAAGTGGCTGCCTTCTCCGCCTCCTGGGGAAAGAACAGCAAATTGGCTCCTTGGAGCTTATCTAATTTGGGGGCACATTTTCAAGTTGGTGTTCGTTCGCTGCTGTGATATCTGGATGTTCTTCTTGTGCGCTCATCGGCTTGTTACAGAACGGGAAAGCCGTGATTGCGGTGGGGGTGCGCAGTCTGCCGTGGAGGGGATTGTGATCTTGAAAGAACAACAACAACAATAATAATAGAAGAATTGCTGACAACAATGTAATAATCACATAATAATCTCCTTTCCATCTTTCCCCGTCGGTGGTAATGGAATAGTTTCCAGCTGCCCCTGGAAAAGTCGTTTTCCAGTTTTGGCTCTTAGGAAGATGTTTGTTCCCTCCGGTCAGACCTTTGCCCGAGGAGCAGATGGACCTGACTTTTGCACATTTGGGGAAATGCTTGCACACAGTGCTCATGTGCCCTGCCTCCCTTCCGTCTCCGTGTAACCGCCCGTCCAGAAAATAAATGCCTTCTGAACTGAGCGTATCATTGAGGCCCATGCTGAGATTCGGACACGGCGATGGTCTGTTCCGGATGCAGCAAGCAGCCAGGCGCTGTCAGCAATGCTGAAAAGTGGGGGTGAGGGTTGCGGGGCTCTTGCAATGCAAGCAGGGGCCCTCCTTTTCATCTTTTCCATGCTGCTATGTTTCGATGTCAGAATAATCTAGAATTCAAAGTCTGGTTTGCTATATGTGCCCTCACTCTTTGGTTTAAGCTATGAGGCTGCCCGCTCAGGTAAGTCCAGAGAGGATGGAAGGACCTGCATCACTCCGTCCATTTCACTCGTGCAGAAGTGTAAGCGGAAATGCCGAGCGCCTCCGCGCAGGGTGCCAGACTCTGGTTCGCCTTTCTGTGTCTCCCAAAGGTGCCTCCGTGCTCCTGTTTATAGCTGATCTGCCGTGAAAAGCCCTGGCGGCAGAAGCTCTTGGGTCTCCGGCTGAAAGGGGCAGGAAGCGGGGGGGGGGGGGGAGCGCTTTTACCTGCCAGTCAGAGTAGCCAGTACCAGGTCAGGGGGTCTGCCATGGGTCCCCACAAGCCTGTGCCAGGAGTCGACTGTGGGGCCTCCCGGTCATTTCCTTTAGCGCAGGAATGGGGAACCTGTGGCCCTCCTGGCGTTGTGGGACAAGACCCCCATCACTTGCCGAGAACAGGATGTAAAACACCGAGTACCCCAATTTTATACTGTGGGATCTCTCAATTTTGACGCAGAAATTGGGGTTGGGGCATTAACCATGGGCTGTTTGATTGTGTATCCCCCCCCACCCCAAGGATGTAATTTTATACTTTTCCGTAAAGTATACTTTTCCGTAAATTTTATACTTTTCCTTTTAGGGGGACCAAGTCTGCCAGGCAACTGTCAGGATTCCAGGGTGGGGGGGAGGCTTTAAAATGGGGGTTTTGAGAGGAATCTTGGGGATTTGGACTGTGACATATTCAGATCTCTGCTCCAGTTCATATCCAAATAATTCTTCGAAGCCTCCATTTTAAGGGAAGCACAAGTGCTGGCAGCAAGCAAGCCAGACAGACAGACAGCCAGACAGACAGATGGAGAGAGTCGCTTTTATGCTTCCCTGTGCCCGAGCGGGCAGCTGTGAAAGTGCACCCCCAGGTTGGGGACCCTGCTGAGGACGGGGCGTAAATCCCCTGACTACCCTCTTCTCTGCTGTGAATCCCTTGCCTCCTGGGTCTTTTGCGATGGTTCGCCTTGTGCAGCCTGTCGAGAGGGGGTGGGGTGGGGGGGGATAAGTTTTGGGATCTGCTGTGCAGTACAACCCCCTGCCCCCCCACACACACAGACTCAGCTGCCAGTGGATGTGCTCCCAATAGCACCTCCAAAACTATTTTGGTGCCTGAATTCCTGGGCACACAAAAATTAACAACAAGAACAACCGGCAGGCTTCCAGCGGCCCACCCAAGATGTCCCTGTGCCTAACTGGGGATGGGGGGGGCATTGGCTGCCTCCCCCACACAAATATTTAAGGGGCAAAATAGCCATAGCCATAGTCAAAATAGCCATAGCCAGAAACAGCCTGACTGGTGGTAGGGGGGGAGAAGGGGCTTCTCGGTCCGGCAGTGTGTCCTGGAGAGCTGGCGGGGTGTGGGGAGGCGGCGGGGGCCCGGTAGGAGCCTGAGCATCTGCTGGGCACAGGGAGGGGGTGTGGCGCTGACCCCAGGCTGCTCCCAGGATTGCTGTGGGGCAATCGGGAGAGGAAGAGAACTGTGTGTGCCTGGAACGAATGGCAGGTGCAGTGCCGTGGCCACATCACCCGTGGCCCCGGCATTGCAGCGCCATCATGGCCCCTTTCTGCTGGGAAGGGCAGGAGGGGACCGGCTCCGCCAGAGATCCCCCGTGATCAAGCCGCTGGATGCACTGCCCGACTGCGCTGGGTCCCAGCCCTGCGGCCGGATCCCCGGGGGTTCCCTGGAGTTTGCCAAAGGAACTCTCCCGTTCCGTCCTCTGCACAATTCTCGGGCCTCCTTGAGCACGGCTGCCCCTGGAAAGGAAGGGGGGGTGGGCAGTGTGGGCGGCAGAGCCTCTTGGTGGGCTTTGCCCAGCGATGGGATGGCCTCCCACTGGTGGAGCATCTCGGGCCTTCACTGACCCCGAGCTGTGGGAGCCGGTTGTCGGTGAAGCCGGAAACGAGCGTGGAAGCTCCCGAGGACCGTTCCGCTCTCAGCCTGATGGGCCGTGTGTCTTCTTTCTCTGCAGGGTATACCACTGGAACGCCCTACAAGGTCCCTCCTACCCAGAGCAACAGCGCTCCGCCCCCCTATTCTGCATCTCCAAATCCTTACCAGACGGCCATGTACCCCATCCGAAGTGCCTACCCACAGCAGAACCTGTATGCCCAGGTGCGTGAATCCGGCCCCCTCTTCGGCCTGTTCCTGGATGCAGTTTGCACTGGCCTTTCGCCGAAAAAGGCATTTTGCAGTGGGCAATAAAAATAGAGGGGGCAGCTGCAGCCGTGAAGCACGAAACCGACTTCTGAAAACATCACTGCTCACACGCCCTGGTTCTAATAACAGAAAGTAAACCTGGATTAACCCGGTACAGCTGGAACGCTTTGGGCTGTGCCTAGAACTCAGCCAAGGGATGTCGTGGCAGATTTCTCCAGGGAGGCGGTTCCATAACGGTCTCTGTTATGAAGGAGATCCGTCTTGGTTTGCCTCTGCTTAACTTTCCAAATCGGAGGGAGCGCTGGGCAAACCACAGCAGTTTAAAAAGCAACTTGATGGATTGACCTCTGTTCACACACTTCTCCGTTAACAGAGGTCAATCTAATGAAATGAAAATTTTCTGGATAGCAGATTTAAGCCAGCAGTGCTCTGCCTTTTGTCAAGAGCCCAGAGATCTTCAGCTATTGGGTAGTCTAGAAATACTACACAAATATTTGTTCAAAAGGTAGATGACCGTGAGAGACAGATGAGTTAGAATTCAACAGATTTAACTCCAGATAGAATAATTTAATGCCAGAGGATACAAATGGGACCAAAGGGTCGCTTTTCTTTTTTAATTGCTGGGGAGTACGTGAGCGGGGGTGGGGGACATTGTCAGCAGCTATTGTGCTCTGCATGGCCATTGTTATTGCTGCAATTATCCCTTTTGCATTAAATTTCTTTCAGGCCTCACAGTTTACAATTCTCCCCCCCCCCCCCGCCGTTTAATTGTATATACACCTAAAATGTTTCACGCAGAACTCTCCATGCATTGCTGCTCCGCCCAGAGCTGGACCAGCACCATCGCTTTAACCCCGAAGTGGTCCTGGAACTGGCTGGCCCCAGTGTTTCCTTTGATTTACGGGGCCATGGTGGCTTAGCGGATAATTATTTTTTCCTATTTGAAATTTGTGTGCTTAATCTTGTTGTGAGTCACCTTCAGTTGTTTTTGAGAACCATGTCTAAGAAATCTAATTTGCAGTAGTATTAATAATGAGGAGGAATTGGGACGACAAAGAATTTGTGGCACCCTACTCGGCAGTTTCCGTGGGATGGAGCAGAAATTGCTGGACCCCTTTGGGAATCCCCTCACCAAGTAGGAGCCAGAGCCCCCACTTCCCCACTTGGGCAGGCGATCCGGAAAGAGATAAGGATTGGTGATACTGACTGCCACTCAGAAATCGAGGTGAATCGGCAGGCTCACATTTCCCCCGCCTGCCTGCTACCACAGTGGCCCGCCAGGGTGGCCACAGGTAATCCAGGGAAGCCCCGAGATGCATCCCAGCCGCTTTGCCCCGGCACAGGAGGCGAGGTGGCAGCAGCAGTGGTCCCTGGCGCTCACGGAGGCCTCCTGAGGGGAGCGAGGGGGTGACGGTGGAAGGGCGAGTGGGGAAGGGAAGGCTGGCCCTCGCCTCCCCCGCCAGGGGCACCTTCTGCGCACGGTTCTGCACCAGAAAAGTGCCAGCCGTGGCTTCTCAGTGCGGAGGGCTGCTCAGCACCCTGGGCAGAGGCCTCCCTGGCTAGAGAGAGCCAGACTTCCCGTCCCTAAGCCCTGCCTGCCGCATGCTCAGCCTCGCTCATGGCAACGTACCGCCGCCTGCCTCCCATTTCTCTAAGTCTGTGTGAAACCCGTGTAACTCGCTGGGTGTTGGATCTCTGCCGAAGGTCCTCTAGGTGCATCCCGAATTCTCCGGAGAAACCTTCTCTCGGGGCCGCTGCGTGCCGTAAGCGAAAGAGGAGGCCCTCCGACGTGCGGCTCCTTTCCCCTAATGGCACCGTTCTCCCTGCAGAGTTCAGCCCAGCTGTTCTGCAGCTGCCCGGCCAGGTGACGTCTTCCTTCCAGAGGAGGCGCCCCGAACAGGCCCCCTGGCATTGCTCATCACTGTGCAGACACTCGAAGCCAAGCAGGCATGAAGTCTGAAGGCAGAGACGGACGGCGCGAAGTGGCTTGCCGGCTGCACAGAACAGTCTCGTTCAAAGTGACCTCTGCTGAAATGTGGCTGCTTTTGTCTCCCCCCCGCCCCCCCGCCCCCGCAGGGAGCCTATTACACGCAGCCTGTGTATGCGGCGCAACCTCACGTCATCCATCACACCACCGTGGTCCAGCCAAATAGCATCCCGCCTGCTATTTATCCGGCTCCAGTGGCTGCCCCCAGGACCAACGGAGTGGCCATGGGGATGGTAGCCGGGACCACCATGGCCATGTCTGCAGGTGAGCTAAAGCGGGGAAGGGTACCTGTTTCCTTAACCCTGCGAATGCCGGAGCCTTCCCCAGCCCCAGCCCCTTCAGTCTGTCGTGGGCACAGTTGCTCAAGCAAAAGCGGCACCAGGCGGATGCTCTCAGTGGCCATTCAATGCATCTGCGGGGCACCAGGTTGGAGAAGGCTGCTGCCGAGTCCGGCATTTTCTCCTTGGAAGGTTCTTAGTTGTCTTTGCAGAGCTGTATGTTTGTCATAATATCTGTGTCGGACAGAACTCACGTTCCTGAGCATTGCTTCTTTCCCGAAGCATTCCTAGCCCAAAATGTTCTTCTCCAATGGCTTTCAAACTGTGATGGAAAACCCGCCTGCTGAAATCTCCAGAACTGGAGAGGAGGCAGGAAGGGGCTCCCCCGTAAGTGGGGGTGGGCTTCCGTTACCTGTAGTCCTCATGTCTCCCCGTGCCTGGCACAAGAGAATAAAATATCCAAAATCCTAAACTGTCAGAAGAGCTGCTCCTCTGTGTTGACACTGTGGCCGCCAGCAGCCCCACAAATCCATGTCTCCTCCCTTTTGAACCCGTGCGTCTGGGATGTGGACCACGTCACCCAGTGCCAGGGGTTGCCAGATTCTGCCATGATTTCGCTTCATGCGTCACCTACCGTTGTAGCCACACCTTTGTTTTCTGCTTTGGGTGCAAACCAGACAACGTGGGGTGCAAGTCTAATGATTGCGTGCCATGGGGGAAAGTGGACACATGATGCCGAATTAAAGAACTCTTGCAAATTCACCCAAGTGTTGCAATATTTGCTTTAGTCCCAGGATTTGGCTTTTCTGGGTGCAAAACTTGGTTTGTTTGGCTACAGGGATACCAGAGTTCTCCTTTGCGGTGGTCATGGATTGAATATCTCCACCACGCTGCTGCCACACCTCTCTGCCCTGTCCGGAATGGAGTGTTAGTGAACCCCTGTTCTCGCACTTTCCCACCAAGTTACCTTGTCTGTATTTCTCTTGGCTTGCTCAAAGGATGCCTCCCGCAAAGGGTCGCCCAGGTGAAGAGCAGGGTCGGGTGCCTGCTTCGGCAGAAGCAGGTCCTGCTCTTAGCCTTCCCCACCCGCCTGGCTGCAGATCGCTGCAAGTTGCGGGATGCTGCTTTCTGCAGAAGCATGCACAGAATCGCCCCCGAATCGCCCCCTTTCCTGCTCCTTACCCCGCCCAAGCCTTCCTCTTTCCCCTTGGCTCCTTCTGGTTGTTGCAAGGGATGCTGTTTTACGCCACACAAAAACAGGGAGACGTGATCCTTCTCACAGTGCCTGGAATTGCCTGGTGAGTTTGAGAAATTCAGAGGCTTCTTAAGGGCATTCATGTTCCCCAGAGTAGGGAGCAGAGGGGCCCACTGTTGAGTATTTACATTATTAAAATGTGTAATGACTTGATTTGGTTTTAATGAGAGATTGGCACCCTTTTCTTGTCTCATTTTCATAGCCAGTGGTAGGGAAATGCTCAGATCTGTAGGATGAGAAGCGGAAATAAAATGACTTCCTTTATCCTCCAGCTCCTGGGCCCCCTTCCTGCCTGGTGGACCCCAAAGGCAAGCCCTCTGCTTGTCCCGGCCCCCCGAGTCGAGCTCTGTGCCGGGCAGGCCCCAGGTGCCGTGCGCAGCCCTCTTCCCCCAGATGGGGATCCACCCCGTGCAGTGCCCCCCCACAGGCGCCTGCACCTCCAGGTGGCCCGTGTCGGCGAGTCCAGGCGCCCTGCTCCCGCTTCCTGTGGGGTCCGGTCTCCGGCGCCTGCTCCCGGCAGAGGCCTGAGGTGTCCGGAGGCCCCCGGCTGCCCTGCCCGCCGTTCTGATTCTCCGTCCCTCTTCCAGGCACACTGCTGACCACACCGCAGCACACCGCCATCGGAGCGCATCCCGTCTCCGTGCCGACGTACAGGGCTCAGGGGACCCCGGGCTACAGCTACGTACCTCCGCACTGGTAATCTCCCTGGCCAATGCATGTAAGTGCCAGGAGGGGCTTCCTGGGGGCGGGAGGGCGGGCCAGGGGCTGCATCCAGCGTGCTCAGCCCAGCTCCCTCCCGGGTCTTCCCCGGGAACTTTCTCCAAAGGCCAGGTCAGACAAGAGTCCTCGGAGGGGGAAGAGCCAAGAGCGGAAAGGAGGAGAGAAGCCGGTTTCAAGTGGCTCAGCACCTACGGAAGGAAGTGGGGGGGGGGGTGCTTGCGGGAAAGCGGCTTCCTCCCGTTCAGCCCCGTCAGAGGGAAGCCGCGCAAGGCCCGGTTGGAAGTGATGAGGAGGACGGGTCTCCCGCCGCTCTGCCGCTTCCCCTTGGCTTGCCGCGTTTCGTCCCGCCCCGCTGCTGAAGCTCTCGGGGAGGTTTGCACAACCCATTAAAAAGAGATGACATAAATGCAATACAGTAAAACATCAGAAAATCAGGGGGGAAATTAAAATGTTAACACTGCTAAAAACAGATAACAACGAGGTAGAAAAAAATAAATTATGAAGGCTTGTGTGGCTTCTTAGGAAGGATCATGAATCAGATTGCCCTGAAGGGGGCTGGGAAGCGGACTGGAATCAAGTCTGGGGAAAACCGGGGATGCCCCCCCCCACCCCCGCGCTGCCCGGCCCTGCCAGGGGGCCAGCAGGGCAGCCGTGCTGCAGCTCTCGGAGTCGAAGGCCCGCGGCCCTTTTTGCTGCCGCAGTAGACATGGCGTACCTGGGACTCATGCCCAGCCTGGTGCCAGGCGCAGGCCAGTCTCCTCTGGCACCCGAGGGGGTGGCATCAGTTTGGGGCTGGATCGGAAGAGCATCCTTTGGCCGTGGCACACGCTGCCCCCCCCCCACTCCCTCCCAAGCAGAGGCAACGGCTCAGGAGGAAGAGACGGGCGAAGGGACTGGCCTTCCCAAGGAGGGTTGTTTTGCCTCGACCCGTTCAGAGGTCTGCGGACCGTTAATTTGAGCTCTTGACATCTTTGAGTCTGCTCCTATGATTGTTGCAATGATCGGTTGGTTTTCTGGATTTTGTAAACCACTGAGTAATATTTTTTGTGGGGAGGGGGCTGGGGCAGAGGGGGGAAGGGTATAAAACCCTCAAATCAATTAAAAAATGCAGTATTCTTACAGGACGTCCTTCAAAACCTTCGAGGGCAGGTGCTTCTATGCCCTCGCTCAGCCTCTGGGTTTGTTGCTGAATCGCCTCTGGCCACAGCGAGCCTAAAACTCCCTTTCTATGATGAAAATGCGTGTTGCTCTGAGGCTGTTTGTCAGTGGGTCGCGTCCTTCCTTTTTCCTGGCACCCAGCGACATATTTAGCCCCTGCTTCCAGATTCCTCTGTGCCAGCCAAGGACAGGCAGGACTGCTTGAGGCACCCTCTCCTCTTGGCATCAGCAGGGAATTGGGTTATCCTTGCGGGGGCGGGGGGGGCTGCTCTCCCCAGGTCCCACGGTGTCTGTGGACACTCCTTGGGCATCCCCTGCTGATAAGTGTAGTCTGTTTTCCTGTAAAATTTTAAATCATGGAATCATAGCATAGTAGAGCTGGAAGGGGCCATGAAGGCCATCAGGTCCAACCCCTGCAGGACACCAATTCACACCACCCCACTCAGGTGGCCGCCCAGTTTCGTTCTGAATGTCCCCAGTGTGGGAGAGCCCCCCACCTCTCCAGGCAGCTGGTCCCACTGCCATCTTGCTCTGACAGTGAGGAAGCTCTTCCTGATGCCCAGCCTGAATCTGGGTTGTCTCAGCTTGAATTGATTATTCCGTGTCCTGCACTCTGGCACCAAGCAGGAAGAGATCTTGACCTTCCTCTCTGTGGCAGCCTCTGAGGTACTTATGAAGAGATCTCATGTCCCCCTCAGTCCTCTCTTCTCAAGGCTGAACATGCCCAGTTCCCTCAGTCTCTCCTCACAGGGCAGCGTTTCCAAACCCTGGCTCAATTTTCTTGCCCTCTCACGCAATTGTCCAACACCTTTATTTGGACCACAGCCTCCTCTTCTGCCTGCAAGCCCTAAATGCAAAACTTGGCTGTGACTCGGTGTCCTGCAACAGCAGCCGGTTGGCCTCGGAGGCCTTCACGGCCCCTTCCAACTCTACTCTTCTAGGATTCTAGGAGCAAAATCCACCTAGCCATCCCGCTCCCCCCCCCCGCCCCACGGAAAGCGCCAGCGTTTTGCCGCAGCCGCAGGGCTATTTCTAACTTCTCTGCACGCTTCTCTCTTCCTCTCTTGCAGATCTGGGAGTCAGACATCGTATGCAACAACTTGAGTCTTACCTGGGTGCTGGAGCGGCTGTCCAAAGGCTCCCGGCCCGCTAGCAAGAACAACAACGAAAAGTGCAAGGGTCACTTTATGCATCCTTTAGGGTTTAATTTTTTTTTAAGACAAACCTTTTTTTAGTTTATTTTGTAAAAGCTGCTTCCTTGTCATTGACCCCAGTCTCTGGCCCCCTTCTGTTCTTCTCTTCTCGCCCCACAGATTGGTTTCATGCCATCCACTGATGCGGAGCAATAGTGTGCTTTTTTATGACCCCCCCACCACGCCCCCCCCCCCCCCCCCCCCCCCCGGCCCCGAGCGCAGGCGGCCTTCGCCTCTCGCTTTTCCTCCTTTCAGTGTTGTGAACGGCCCCTGAGGTGGCGCATTTCGTTCGCCAGGTCCGTTTTGGGTTTGCTGGCAGGAACGGGTGATGTTCAGGGCTAGAATAAAAAAGCACAGGGCTGGCCTTCTTCCCACGTCACTTCCATTGGCATCTTTCCTCCTCTCTCTGTCTCTCCCACACACATATATATATTCCATAACCTATGAGAAAATTGGTGTCTTCCAGATAGGTGTCTAAATTCGATTTGCGGTTCATTAGCTGCTTGGAAACTTGGAGCTCATCTCTTTGTTTGTAGGAGTAGATGGAAGGACCAAGGACCGTAACTCCCCTTGTGTTCTCGGGATCAGGCTGGCTGCGGATCGTTCAGGGGTTTGGCTCACGTTCACCACACCGTCATGAAGTCCCCGAGTCCCCAGCACAACAGGAAGAGGAAAAGCTGAGGGGCATCGGGCGTCAAATGACCAGGAACCTGTTCCCTGGCTTTGTAGTCCCTGAGCTGTGCTTCTAATTCAAGAACGAGGGCGAGGGAGGTGGGGGAGGCCAGGAAGGACTGCCGCGCACACCAGCACTTGCCGAACAAATGCTGCACCTCAGGGTGCAGCTGTGAGAAGCTTGGAAGCCACTGGTCTGTGGTGACCAGGACTCCGTTTCTTGGCCAGTCCACTCAACCAAAATGGACTAGAATAGGATTTGAATTCCTGATTCCCCTCCAGCCAGCTTGTCTTGTTTGGCACGTGCTGAAGCTCCCGTGTGGAGTGGCCCCAATTTCAGGTTCACCCCACATTTGCTCTGCACCCGCCCCCAAGGCAGGCTCTCTGCAGGATTCACAAAAGCCACATTCCCAGCACATGATTTTGGTTCCGTGGAAGGGCCCCAAGATGCTTCTTTTTAGTACATCTTCAAGAGAGATCAGTTGCCGCCCCCCCCCCCGCCCCAGCCACATCGGTGGATCGCTTGGCATCGCTGTTGACGGGAAGGTGCGGGGCCTCTCTGTTGAATAGTCAGTCCTGAAGCCCTTTTTCCCTTGGTGGAAGGGCGGCTTTGAAAGCTGCTCTCCCTCCTTGAGGAACCCTCACTGTAAGAGGCAGCTGCAGCATCTCTCAGATGCCACCCGTCGGGTGACCGCATGCCTTTCGGGCTCATGACCTTTTGGGGGGCACCAGGCAGGCCCTGGCAGGTCTTGGGCAAGGAGAAGGGCCTGCGGGGCAGTTTCTAGGTGTCCAGGGCAAGTGCTTAGGGGAGAACCATCTGATGGGGCAGCTCCCCGCTTTGCTTCGGTGGTCTGGAATGCCCCAGACCCTCCCTTGCGAATCCTAGATTCACCAGGGCAGGTGTCTCTGCACCCTTTCCAGCACTGGAGAAATGGCAGGACCAACGGGTGTTTGTCAAGTGAAGGGGGAAACGAGCAGCGAGGAGACTTTCAACTGAGTGCGGCCGAAGGAACGCTCTGTATTCACAGGGACGACAGCTGCGGCTTTCTAGTATGCTAGGTAAACGACCACTGCTTGCTCACGGACCCGTTCCCGGCACTGGTCAGGAGGCTGCCTTCCATCTGCCGGGTGCCTGGTGCCAGGTTGGCGCTGGGCACATCTGAGCTGCAGGTCGCTGGAAGCGGAGGAGGGCCGGGGTGAAGCTCCGGGCCCTGGCAGGTGTGTTGGGCAGGGCAGTGGCTTAGCAGGAACGGAAGGGTCAGGCTGGGAGTGGGTCGGAGGTGCGGAGCCGTTCTGTGCGGAGAGAAGGCCGCCGGGTCTAGATGGCATTCCTTCCGGTCATCGTGGCAATTTCACTTCCTGGCCGCATCTTTCAGAATGACTCCTGAAAATGCTTCCAGAGACCAGCACGAGTGTGTGTGCATGGGAGGCGGAATCCCTGAGCAAAGGAGTTCTTCTTTTCCCTGTGCCAAAGAGACCAGCAGTGAGTCTCTACCTCCAGGACCATAATTGGCTCTTGGCACTCCGTCCTCAAGGCCCCTCTCCATTAAACAAAAGTGTTAGAAAGACCCTCTGTTGGGAGAGAACCCCCCCCCCCCAGGCCCTGCTCTGGCAAGGGCAGCCAGCCCCCGCAGTGGGGCAGAGACGGCTGACCGAGGGCAGGTGTGCCGTACCTTGTCTGGGACTTCTGTGGCACGTTCCACGTGTCGCCGTGGGCTTTGACGGAGGGCCACCCTGCGGGCAAGGGCAGAGGGGCTGGGAAACGGCACTCGGCGCGCGGTGACGCTTCCTGGTGGCAGGAGGGGGACCCCATCTGCGCATCGTGGAGGGCGGGCAGTGGCGTTGACCGAGCCCGGCCGCCGTGGCCTGGCGCTCGGCACAGGCGGGTCCGTGCAAGGCCAGAAACGCTTTGAAGAGCCCAGCCCGCCCCCCAGGGGTGGGGGGTGACTGCCAGCGGGGGCCCTGCCCTGTGTCCTGCTTCCCCACTCCATCAAGTGCTGCCCGCTACCCTCAGCAGCGCTGCTAGGAAGGGGCTGAGCTGCCGCGGTCCAGCTTTGTGAAGGCAGCTTGAAGTAATTGGGATCCAATGTTTAATAATACAAATAATCTTTGGAGCTCTGTTTGTATATAGCTGTATAAAGTATATACTTTTGAATTTGACAGGAAAGCAGTTGGGGGAAAATGGAAGTCGGGAAAGTAATGTTGGGGGCGGGGCGTTGAAGGGCCAAGGATTAACGAGTGCAATTAAGCTGGGGGGGGGGGGCTTTGAGTTGTGGCCAGAGACTGAAAAGATGGACATGTGTTTCCGCCTTAGGTGGCTCTCCTTTGGTGCGGTCTTGTTTCTCCTCCATCATGTTTGCATTTCAGGAAATAATTATGGTTCATTCGCAGAGATTAACCCCATTCCCCTCCCCTGTATGACTGGACAAAGAACATGGTGGCGTTTCCACCCGCTTTGCGATGCTTCATCGCCAGGCCTTCACAGCCACTGGTGCAGGTTATCGCTGCGGCCAAGCGCCCCGATAGCCTCCTTTCCGGGCACGAGCTGTAAGGCGAGGCTCGGAAGAGCCAGGCAGTCAGAGAAGGCCTGTGAAACCTTTGCACCGGCCCATGTGCGCTCGAGAGGCGCCTCCCAGCCGCGGCTCCAGCAGCACGGAACTGCCTGCATGAGTAATTGCTCCTGTATTTTATGAACCATAACCTAGTCAAAACTATTATTGTTGTTATTATTATTATAATTATTATTATTTTGCTGTTCAGATCTGTAATTTAAAAGGCGCTTTTTACCATAAGTGTTATTTAAAGTTTTGTTTAAATGATGGATGTCTATTATTCTTCACGAGAGGAAGTTTAGGGTTGTACAGGTCGGAAGCGTCTTCAAGAGACAGGAGCACTTCGGGACACGAGTCCGTGGGCTTTTGTTCACGAGCAAAAGCGTGCCAGATCCCCCTACCCCCGCCGCCGCCGCATCCTAACCCAATCCTAAGACTCGTTTAAACCAGTGCTTAAGTGGACCATGACGCATTCACTTCCCCGAGAGGGTAATGCCTAGAGACAGATCGAAGACCTCTATTCATGCTGATTGCAATGAGCTCCTTTAATGGGCCCCTCCGCAGGGAGAGCTCTCTGGAGGTCACCGCCTGTTCAAGGCGTTGTAGACCTAGGGGTCTGCTGGGGTCTCTCCTGGTCCCACCCTTTGGGCCTCCACCCACCAAGCAGGATCGGTGTACTATTTTGAACGAGGCCAGCTTCAGCCCGTGGCCCTTAGCCCAGCAACCTTCGGGGTCAGCTGTAAAAATGCGGACTAGATTTCCGGCCCTGTCATGCACACATTTTCCCCGCAGGGAAAGCTTGCACCCTGGGTGGCGATGCGATGTGATGCGATGCTCGCTCCTTGGAGGAAAGACCCCTCCGTTCCCTGCAGCAGCGGAGCGTCAGCGATGTCCTTCTGCGGGGGCACACGGACCGGAAAGGCACCTTGGCTAAGTCTGTGTCTGGCTCGCGGCCGCGTGTCGTGTCCGCAGGGGTCTCCTGCTGGTCGCTGCTCCAGATGGCGCTCTGCCTACTTATGGGGAAGTGCTGACTGACCGAGGGGGCGCAGGAGTCGCCCCGGTGAGCAGCCGAGCCACCTCTCTAAGCCACCCCCCATCTCAGTTACCACTTCGGCGATATCCCCATCTTTGTTAGTGCTGTGATCACATTTGTTCCGGTGAAGTTGGATCTCTGCACTTTTTACTGTGTGTGCTTTCTCTCTCTCTCGCTCTCGCTCTCTCTCTCTCTCTTTCTCACACAACACACATCTTAACCTACACAATACCTTTCCAAGAGAAAAATATGAAACAAATAACACCAGCTTTAAAGTAGCAATAATGCAATTACTGTTTTAAGACGTCCTGAGCTTCCCCCAACATAGGCCCCGACAGAGAGGATGGCGGGGTGGGGGAGAGGCTGGGTCCAGGCGTTCCTTCTTGTCCTCTGCTCTCCAAAGCGTTGCGGGTTCCCTCTTTGTGCCATGGCAAATTTGATGCTGATGTTCCTTCCAAACAAACACGGAGCAGTCGGACTGGTGACGATCACGCCTTCGTGTTTCGGTCTTTGAACTGGCGGCCACTTAAGCATGTGGACACTTTAACAGCCCCCCCCCCCCCGAGCAAAGATATTCGTGTCATGAGATCAGGGCAGAATAAAGTCTTCTAACAGGACGCCTTTTCTCGGCCATGGGCTGCACGGGTCTTCTGAAAGCTCTTCAACAGGCCCCATTTGTGGGAACGTGACTTTCGGGTGCATCTTCTTCCGAGGAGCTTGGCCTGGGGTCTCCCCGGTTAACCTTACAGCAACCCCACGAGGTAGGTTGGGCTGGGAGAGGGCACCTGTGTGGGGATTTGCGCCCCGGTCCCCTCAGTGCGTCTGTGTCATTCTCACTCTCCAGAGACTGGGGGACGACGAGGGAGGGCGATCGCTTCTGGACCCGAGTGCAAGGTCCTGGCTTCCTTGAGCGCTCCCAAGTTAGGGATAAACATGGCGGTGAAGGGTTTGTTGTTCAGTCGCCCTCTTCAGTGTCTGCGCTTGAGCGGCAGCTGCATCGTTGAAAGGGTGGAAGAAGACAGATCTGAGCCCGCCCTTGATCTCGGGGCCCTCTAGCTCTGCTCCCAACGGAGGCCCATGTGCCACGGCTCTGCCGCTGCTTCTCCCGCTCCTGGTGGCCGTGGTTGCCTGGGTGTCCTCCTGACTTTCCACAGCCAAGCTGACGAGTAAGATCCAGGGCTGCAAATAAATTCCCGCGCGGCTTTGTGTCGGGGTTACAGTTTGCTGGGGAGGATTGTGAGTGCCTGGCCTGGGCAGGACACCCCCCCCCCCCGCAAAGCGAGGTTGACTGAGCCTCCTCCCGAGGAGGAATTCTGGAGCTTCCGCTCTGGCCATGATGCCCGTTAGCCTAAGCCAGGCCTCTCGCCATTGCACCAGGAAGCCTGGCGATTTTCCTACATCCTGTGGACACACCTGAGGAAAAGGGGCGAGTGCTGCACCCAGGAAGAGGGAGAGAAACAAGGGTTAGTTGTGTTAAAAGAGCCCACAATTGTTTTGTTCGAGACATCTGCTGAACCCCCCCTCTTTCATCCCACATGGACTGTTCACAGGCCCACCCGATCCATGGAGATGGCAAGCAATAGAACTGAGTGAGCTGTTGATAAACCTCAGTAAGACCCCAGAAGTGCAGGCCTTGATTTTTATCCGGCTGTTACCCAGTCAAGTGTCCCTCCGTACCCCCCCCTTTTCTCCCCCAGCCCTCTCTTTGGCCTGGCACCCCTGGAAACTTGGAAACCGAGTCCTCCCTTGCTCACACCAAGGGCAGAATGTGAAGCGCGACCAAGTGGGGCTCCCAGTGAGAATCCAGCCACCCCTAATTCTGCTCTTGATCACTGCACATGGGGCAGAGACCTTTTGCTCTGGATGTGTGAAACTCTGTGGGAGAAGAGGGGAGGCAGGTCTAGGATTTTAATTTTTTTAATGGCGGGCTTCACAGGTTGGATAACCTGGTTTTAAATTTTTTATTGGAAATTCAGCAAAAATGTCTTCCAAGTTTTAACTCCAAGGACGTAACCCTGGGCAAGAGAAAAGGGCCGTTGCATTCAGTCAGCCCCACACACTCAACTTGTGAATATGAAGTGTACATCCGTATTATCGTTACTTTGCTCTGAGGATCAATTAGTGATCTCCCTAACAGATTTAAGCCAAGAGTTTGTAACTGTATGATATTTACTGTAAGATGTAGAGCATTGGATAACTATTAAAATGTTTCCAAAAAAAAAAAAAAAAATACAACCTACCCCAAGCCATTGGTTCTCCGTCCTTTGGAGTTTGTTTGTGCGTTTGTTCAAATTGTGCTGCTTGCCATATCACCTCTCAAGGGGCCTGATGGTGCGGTTTAGCCAGTCCAGCGGCTTCCACACCAGAATCGGGTCTCACCTTTCAGACACTAGGGAAACGCTGCATGTTTTGGCGGATGGTTGCGAGGCAGATTCTCGTCCGTGGATGTTGCTCCCTGGTGGACATGACTCTCTTTGAACCCACAGATCAGGATTGGGGCCTTGCGGCCTTCAAGATGCCGGGCTTCAAGTCCCACGGCATGCTCAGAACTGGGGGAGTTTTAGTCCACCAACGTTGGCGGCTGAAGGTCCTCGGAGGGTCACACGAGACACGGAGACGCAACAAGGGTGTCGCCCCACCTGCATCCGTCTCTGGGATCCATCCGCATCCCTCATACAGGCCCAAGTCGGGACAGGGGGTCCTGCCCATGTGATCGCGTCTCCCACCTTCTGCTGGGCTGCGGCAAGGCCACCTCGGTTCAGGGGTGTCTGGTTGGTTGATGGACACAAACTGCTCTGTATGGTGCCATTCCCCAACCTGGTGGCCACCAGACGCTCGGGCCTGCCACTGCCATCATCCCCAGCTGGCATTCTGTTGGGCGTGATTTGCCATGCCAGCTGGGAATGCTTAGAGTTGGAAACATGCGAGTCAGAAGGGGTCTCCTGGGCCATCTAGTCTGACCCCCGGCTCCAGCCGGCCCCGCTCTTCACATGCCCACCACGTTAGCATCTTCCGCCATGCCGGGAAAGCCCCAGGAGGAGTTCAAGCATCGTAGCCGAGAGCAGAGGGAGAGCAGCCAGCCTGGCGAAGCCTGCGGTTTCACCCTTCCCTTGCCGGGCAGGCCTTCCAAGCCGGCTTGCCAAGAGCTTCTGGCACAGCACCTCCGCTGGACCACATCCGCTGTCCAACTAAGCTGGCATCTGCCAGATGCTTTGGGGAGGTCCACAAATGGGGCCCTCAGGCAGTTCTCCCCCCCAGTAATGCCCCCCCCCCCGCAATTGGTTTTCAGGGTGCTTCGGAACATGGGAGCACCATTAATTCAGCAGCAGGCACAAGGGTGTGACGCAACAACTTGTGTTGCCATCGTGAAGTTTGCTGGTCCTAGTAAAAGAATCTTTTCTAGGGATACACTGGTGCTGACCAGTGAGGGGGCCATGTAAGTGCCAGTACATAAATCTGGGGTTTCTGTACAACTGCGGGAAGCCAAACGGGGAGCTGGGGAGCTGGTTTTAAAAGAGAAGCGAGATACAGTGGGCATTGCAGAAACCTGGGGGAAGGAGAGAGCCGGTGGGGTGCTGGCAGCTTTGCACGTAACTTCTGTGGGAAAGGCTGGCAGGGGCAGCTGTTGGGCTCTCCACAAAAGGGGCCATGGGGGCCAGAGGGCTGGATGAGGCAGAGTGCAGACTCTTGCACAGAAGGTGACAACAGCTAAGCTCCAGAACCTGCAGCTCCAGGAGTGTGTTGTCACCCAGACCGGAATGCCCAGGGCGATCCCCTGGCCTCATTCCCCATCTCCTGGACATTGGTTAGTGTGAAGAAAAGCTTTCTACTGCTTTCCATGCAGACTCCTGGTATTCCCGTCACACCCAGGGCTCTGTCTTGTGTAATGCATGTGTATTTAGGCATGTAATCTAGTTCTTTACAGCATTTACAAATACATGGCAGTCCATTAGGCTGAATTTCTGCCCCCTACCTTTTACATTTTACTAAAAAAAAAAAACAAAACTGAACTGAACCAAACAGAACAGAACAGAGCATCACTGAACACAACAGGATTCTGGCTCTTTTGATATGATAAATAAAGTAAATATTTTTGTGTTAGGAAATACAGAGCAGCACAGATCAGCTAAGTTTGCATTGAGTACCAGGAGTAATGAAAACAAATATAAATGAAATCTACTAGGAAAAAACAGCTGTGTGGTCAATCTGGGCTGATAAAATCAATGTTACCGTAATTATAGGTTGATGTGGGAAAAGTTTAGTCGGAAGATGTGGTTAAGAAACAGTGTGGTGTAGTGGGACTGAGGCCAGGGAGGCCTCCACGTGAGGAAGCCTCACAAAAGGGGTGCCTTGGCACCCCCAAGTCGGCTGGATAAAGGCATGTGCCAATTCTGACAGGGCGATTCCCTGTCCCCCGGTCCCAAGTGACCGTGCCCGGGAGCACTGGATCACGGAACCAATCGGAGGTAAGGCAGGCCTGGATCTGATCCCAGGTGGGTTCGCCCAGGAGGAAGCGTGGGATGCAGGCGTCGCCGATCATAATGGAAACAGCGACCACAGCGCTATCAGATCGAATGTACAATTAGTGGGAGGATTGCTAAAGAAGTTGAGCAAAGTCGCAGCTGACTTCAAAAGAGGAAGCTTCTCTGAAAGGAGGGAACTGGTAAAAAAGCAGTTGAAGCGGTGAGGCGAGAGGGTTAAATCCCTGCAAAATGCCCGAAGAGTCCTCAAAGCCTCCCTGGGGACAGCGTGTCGTCCCACAAATTGGGAAAGGTGGTGCGAAGTCCAAGGAGTCTCCAGCAGGGTCAAAATGTAGAGTCAAGGAGGCTGTTAGAGAGAAGAGGGCTTCCTTTAAGGAAGGCACGTCTAGCCCATGTCAAGAAAGCAAAAGGGAGCACAAGCGGCAATGCAGGCAGCCAGGAAGAGCAGTGAAGATGCATTTTGAGGGGCGTATCGCTAACAGCATCAAGGGCGATGATGAGGAGGTCTTTGACTAGATCAGAAGCAAGAAACAAACCAGAGAAACAGTTGGAGGATCATGGAATTCAGGGAGCACGAAAGGAGGGTGAGAGTGGATTTCTTTCCTCCATTCACACAGGATATCCTTCACACAGGATGCAGAACAAATAACTTTTTCACCATTATTTATTCCTGAATGCAATCAGAGGAATTAAGGCAGGTAGACATGACAAAAGATGAAATTCTCAACCTTTCTGACAAACACTAATTTAATAAACCATGAGGCCCAGAGGGTATCCATCCTGGAGCTCTTAAAGGGCTCAACTATTAAATTGCTCACTTTCTTACAAAAATATGTAGCATGTCTCCAAGATGAGCTTCCGTACAGGAGGACTGGGAAATGGCCAGTGTCACACCAGTGTTCTTTTAAAAGATCTGGGATGGTTAGCTGAATGTCTGATCTGGGTAAATTGGTTGCCAGCATTGCTGAAGGCAG